GTTGTCATTTGTAATCATCAAAATTAAACGAAATAAACATTTGAAATATATGAGTTTGTATGTAATGTATGAATATAATATACAAGTTTCACTTTTTAAATGGAATTACTGAACTAAATCTACTTTTTCATGATATTCTAATTTTATGACCAGCACCTGTATATGAATTGTTAAAATAACACAAAAAAGCGGAACGGTATACTTGCCAAAAAACTTACAGAAGAAAAAAAAAAACGATGTTAATAATGAGAAAGTTTGTGAAGCGTTCACACAATTAATGCTCCAAAAATGAATCAGCTGCACATCTACTGAAAGTTTCAATAACATTTGTTCAGTGATGCACCCCCCCCCACATAAACTGTAGACAAAAACAGACAGAGGTAAAGACATTGCAAATTCTTCGCCTTTGGCAGTAGCCAATAATTCTGCATAATACTGTAGCAAATAATAAGGAAACGTAGGCTTCGTGCCAAGCAGACGAGCAGGAACCCTTTTTTCAGAAGCCGCAGAAAGAAAAGGACTCATTATGATGATGACTTCTTCATGTCATATTCATGTCTCATCAACTCATTTCTTCTTCCAGACTTGTAAAAATCCATTGACTTTTGGAGCTCCTCTGAAGGCACTAATGAGAGCGAAAAACTGAAGAGTCCCCCCCCCCCAAGCTGCTTTACAACAGGAACTTCTTGAACAGTAGTTTTTGTTTTTCATTTTGCCAAAGCGGGACATTGTTTCTATAGATTTAATTTGTCCCATAGTTTAAACTAATCTAACATAGTGAATGTGTTTTCTGATGGCTTCTGTTATTTGCAAAAATGAATCCAATTTGTGTCTTTTCAGMAATGAATGCATCCAACAGTCTAAAACATGTGGATCTTCAACAATCGGCCAGCTGCCTAAACAAAAGCTACATAACTTCAGGTAAGTTGTTCTTATTCTGTAGATATTTTTGACATTAAAATATGTCCAGCTCTGAAATTACCCACTTTAGAGAAATTTAAAAAAAAATCCATGCAGCACAGAAAGCAAAGTAGCTGCTGTTTAAACCCAACAATGTGCTTGAGTTTTATTTACAGGGACTCGGTCTCAGTCTTTCACTGCTGCTGTTGCACACCTCTTTTTGCCTCCGTTTGGTCTCACTACTGTCCAGGAGCACAAACAGAAGAAGTAGCCACGGCATAAAGTGGTTTTGACTGCTGATGAACACGGGGAGGCAAAAGTAAAACAGGAAAAGACAGATTCCCTTCACAGTTGGATATTTTTGGACCATCTGTGAAGACGCACTCCCACAAACTGAATTCGGCAGCAGATTGTAGTCGGACAAGAGTGTCTGTCAAAGTGATTGTATGTGATGGAAAGTGACTCCAACAAAAACCTTATTTTTACTGTCTTTTTCTGTTGTAGTTAGATTTGTAATTTGTCCCAATCATTAGTTTTTCTCCCAGATATCAACCAGTCATTTAAATAAAAGGACCAACTAATAGAGTCTTAATTTAATATTTGTATTTGTCTGGTGTCCAGCTTCTCGCTACAGACTTTTGATCTTCTGGTCGACTTCATTTCACTCCTGGCCAGCAGATTATTGCTGTTACTTTCTGAATTGCTTGTTTGTGTTGTAAAATGTTTCCATACCACAAATACGTTGGCACTATAGGTACAGAAGAGCTTTGCATTCACCAAAGAAACACAAAAAAAGACCCCTGATCTTATAATTTTGAGATCTTGATGTCAAAATCAGGAGAAAAGAAGTGAAATGGAATACTTCTTGAGGATTTAGGATTTTGAGCTGGTACTTCTTCCTGATTCTTTCAGTCATATATGGTAAGTGTTACAAGAAAAATATGTTTTGTATGTTAATGATGAAATTGTTGAATTGAGTCAGTAAAGCGTAACAATAGGAACTATTGTTTTGAGTTTATGTTCTACATTAGGGTGTGATGCTGAATGCACCAGTGCCCAGACCAAGCTGTATATACCCACCAGAGTTTAATAAAGCTATGACCGGCAGGGTTAAAACAGGACCAAGCATGTGCTCTTTGTCCAATATTCTACTTCCTGTACATACACAGTTCTTTGGGACACCACCAAACCAGCTTGGGTGCACTTGAGAGCCATTAACTGCTTATAACCATGAAGCATCCTGTTCTGGTTTAATTGCTCCTGCAGGTTAGAGTGGGCTTTTTGACCGAACAACCCCAAAGACTTAAGATACCTGCCGAATAGGGGTGCAACGARACAGAAAATTCACGATTCGGTTCGATACTTTAGTCTCACGGTTCGATATTTTTTTGACACAAAAACGAGAAATGTCCATGCCCATTTTAACTTGTAATTTATTTATATTAATTATGAACATTTGTTTAACCTCAAAAGTACAGTTTTTAAATGAAATGTTGCTGAAACAGCAAGTTTCTCAGTGGATCTGCGCTCAAAAATGCAGCCTATGGAGTAGTTGAACACAGATCCACTGATCCTTAAACACAGAGCATCTTCAGAAGACAAGTTGATAAAATAAATTTTAAAAATCTGTATTGTTCGATACAAGTGTGTATTGAAACTAAAGCACTGTTTGATACGGGTACATGTATTGTTACACCCCTGCCCAATGTTCATATAGTCTGAGACATTGGGAAATACTGACTTCACCTAAGAGGAAATAAAAGCAGTCATTGATCACTTTTTCTGTAGTGCAGCTATAGCCTSGTAAAAACCAGACCCTTGTCCTTCATGAAGGGAAACTAGAATTGAGCAGAACTGCGTAGGGCCAGGCTAGGTCAGCTACAGTATGACTCTCTTTAAAATTCTCTCACAATTATGAAATCTTTTCTCATAAATTTGAGATCCAGATCCCATAATTACAAGATCAGGAGTCTAACTTYTTTTTTTTTAACGTAATGCTCTTCCGTATTCGGGTTGGGCGATATTGTCTAAAAATTTTATTGGTATTAATTGTGGCATTGATCCGTTACTAGTTAATATGATGAATAACATTTGAACTTGTAGATTGTAGATATGACACTGTGGACTTTGGTCCACTTTTTCTTTTAATCCAGTTTATGTTCCTGTTTCAGGTGATTTAACAAGCTTAGTTGCTTTCTGCTACTACTGGGCTCATATGTGCCTGATGATGGTGTGTCATTCACAAAAATGTCAACACGTAGCACCAAAGCAGTATTTGCAAACTGGCAAACAATAATTCATTAATTGCAATTAACAGTTTTGATGATTAATTGCACATGATTTTTCCCAACCCTTGACTCTTGACATCACATTGCCGTCACATTATGACTGCCATACTGCAGCATGGCTGATGTATATCCATGAATAGGTGGTCAAAAACCACGGCAGCTATTCTGAAACTGATCAATGAAAATTTCCCTGATTGGTCCATCTGATTCGACACCAGTGATTAGCTTGGAACATCCCTAACTATGACCAATACAATAGCATAGATTGAATTCATTTTATAGCTCCAAGTCACAGCAAACTTATCAGGGCACTGTACAAAAATCAATCAATTAATCTAAAGAAGCCAACAGATTGTGTTGCATCACTTCAGTCTCCCATCCTGAGCAAAATTTAAAGAAAAAAATACCCTTTTTTTCCTTAACATTTTACTTAAGTTCCTCTAAATTGTACCATTCCCTTAAACATACAGAAAACTCAAAGTAAAAAAAAAAAAAAAAAGAAAAACAAAAAGGCACAGACTTCTGATATTATATTTTATTTGAGAAAACACTGATCTTATATTTGAGTTAAATGTATACAAGTTGTCATGCAGGTCATTTTGAGCTCCAAGAAGGCAACATCAGTTGGTGCAGACATTTAATTCCCCCTAAATATTAATTTGGAAATAACACACAACCAAATATAATCCTCCACCATCRTTAAGTTATTTAGAATTTGTAAAAATATATTAAATTTGAGTCTACTTGCTTTTGGTTCTTGAACAAGTGAGTACATTTCCAATCCGTAGATCTAGTTCAGAACTAATGAGAAAATGCTGGCAACCGGATCCTGGAAACAGCTGCATTAGAAGAGTTCTAATTTATTAGTTTGACTTGATTTTTAAGATCATACTCTGTTTAATCCTGTGCTCAGCTGATGATGGGAAATCATTTCTGATAAACAAATACCTCAAATTATTCAATCAAAAAGCCTAAAAGCATTAGAGCTTTTAAAACAGTTTGGTTTTAACACGTTTTTGACACCAAATTACAGGTTCTAAAAAAAAAACGGTGCAGATGTCACGCTGTTCAAGAGAAAAGAAATAAGGCGCTCAAAGTGAGAGAACCAATTAAGCGATGAGGGTAATTAATATTTTATGTCAACCAATTAAGTCATTTGAACATAAAACAGATCAATAAAGGCATGTAAAGTGTCCCGAACCATAAATTAATAATTAGCGGGAACAGCTCATCAGAAATCTTTGATCATCTCCTCAGCTTGATGCTTTTTCCCTCCGATATTAAGTAACGGGTGCAGTTTGTGTTTATGTTGGAGTTAATGCTAATGTGCATCTTTGTGTTTGCTGGAGTTTGATAATTAGCTGGAATCTCCTAGCTCAGGCAATATAGTAAATGCTAGTTCTGACTTTCTTCAGAATCATTGTGTTGTCTGCATAAAGTACCTTAAAGCCTTGTTCATGAACATAAAGACTCGTTTTTTTCCTCCCGACATGACAGAAGAGTAAACTTTCTCAAATTTCTTTTTTCCAGTCCAGGTTTGAAAACAAATGGATTTCTTATGAAAGTTGTATTTCTTTTCTTTTTCCATGTCTGACTTCTGTTTGATTGCTTTTGTGTAAAGATATCTCACCATTTGTACTGCAAGTAATCCAGCAGGCTTCAGTTCATGTCAGGTCTGCATTCRTCCAATTCCCTGCTTTTTAAATATTTGCAAATGCAATCCAGTTCCAAGGTGCAACAAGTGGGGAMATCAGATCAAAGCACTCATAAGAAAACTGCATTAATCAAGATTTATTTTCAGGCCACCCCCCCGAGCCTGGGGGGATTCCTTTTGGATCATTAACACCCCTCGCCCCGCTTCTGAAGTGTTTCTCAGATGTCTCTYGTCTGAGCTGGATTTGATCCACAGTTTGTGGTGAAAGGAGAGTTCCCGTCCTGCAAAGAAGCAGGTTTGTTGGCATTCTCTCAGCAGCATGACAAAAAGTACAACTGAAAGGTTGTGACGAGTCACAAGAACAGAAGTGTTTTTTTATGTGTGTGTGTGTCTTTCGGGCCGATCGGTGCTCTCRTTTCGCCCAGGCCCGGCAGACATCTTGGAAGGGGCTTCCTCGGTGGCGATTGTTGMAGCCGTGCCTGAACGGCACCTCTTCCACCTGAAGTCTCAGTAGTTGTATTTTCCTGCTTCTGTTACCGACGACGTCGCTGTGTTTGGCAGAAAAAGCGGTTTTGGCGGGACTTGCGGTTTTAGCGACACAGTTCTCCGGACCACCGCCGCCCTCTGCACGTGAGGCCCTTCGCTGTAGCTGTGCTGCCGCGTGAGGCAGGCGCTGGCGATCGACGCTTTCTGGCTCTCGTTGTTGTTGCTGGCGTTRGTGTTGGCGGCGGCCGCGGTGGCGCTGGGGCCCGGGGGGCCGTTGCTGCTGCTGTTGGTGTTCATCCTGGCCAGAAAGTGCACGTGCGTGCCCCTTTGGTTAAAGCTGTGGTGGCGGGGGACCGCCCCCCCTGCCGCGCCCATCTTGATGAGGGAGTGGCGCTGAGATTGGTGGCGCGCCACGGAGACGGCGCCCCCTCCGGGTCGYTCCGGGATCACCTGCTGCTGGAGCGGGGTGGAGGAAGAGGAGGAGGATGAAGAGGGGACAGAGGTGGAGGAGGTGGGGTTGTTGGAGGACGAGGACGAGGACGACGAGGACGTGGCCGAGGAGGAGGTGGAGCTTTGAGGCACGGCGTCCAGGTGTTTGGGGAGGCCGTCCCTCGGCAGCGTGGAGGTGCTGTAATAAGAAGTCGACTCTGTTTCTGGGATGGGCTGCTGGTGATGGTGACTGCTGCTGCTGTTGTTGTTGTGATGGTTGCTGTGGTGGTGGCTGTGGTTGTAGTGGTGTGTGCGCGTTTGGCTGTGGGGGTTGTGATGATGGTGGGGGTTGTGATGATTGTGACCGTGTCCTCCGGAAGACGCCGGAAACAGAGCGGACGAGGAGGTGGAGGTGAGGACCTTGATGCCCCCGGTTCCCGACGCGCTGACCTCGTGGATGTGTTTGAGCAGCTCGTCCAGCGCCGACACGTCCACCACCGTCTGAGGGAGGGACTGCTGGGAATGGTGGTGATGTGAAACCGCACCGCCTCCTCCTCCTCCTGCAGCTGCTGCGTGCTCATCGCTTGAGATCCGCCTCTCCTCCGGGAGGTGCAGCGAGGTCGAGGAGGCGCCTGCCCCGTGGGCTGCTCCGTTGCTCAGACTGTTGCCGTTTTGATGAGAGAAGGGAAACACTTGCTGACTTAAAGAATTCCCCACGACGGCCATGAAACCCTGACCGGAGGAGGAGCAGCTGGGGCCGGACTTCTCCTTGGCGTTGTTGCAGTTTTGGTTCTTCTCGTACTGATGGTGCCGCAGCGCTCTCATGCTCTTGATGGGGAGCTCTGGGGTGGAGTCAGGCGTAGGCAGGCCGGAGAGTTCTCCATCGCCCTGAGACAGAGACTAAACAAAGGTTAGACCCAGTGGTGGGCCCCAGCCCACTAAAGCACAAATCTGCTAAATGCGGACCTAAATATTTTGTTTGCGCTTTAGCGGTCTTACTAATTTTTATAATTCATAAGCGGATTTGAGCTTTCTAAAATTGAAATGCAGTACCGCTAATAACTAATTATCTACCAGTCATTATTATCTTGAACAGCAGAAGGTATGGCTGCCAATGAATCACAGCACGTGATCTATCCAACAGCACCCCTCCCAAATAAACACACTTACTGGAAAGGTAAATGTCCTTGTTGACTGTTGCTTTGGGCCACAGTTCTGATTTCCCACAATGCTTTGTGTCTGCTTACGTAGCAGGAAGCCAATAGCAAAAACAGTTAACGTATGTAATCCATACTAAAATTTTGTATGTATTGATTTATTTTACTTTACAATCGGAGCTCCTTTAAAAAAAGTTTAAACGCTGGAGCTCAATACTTGACGTAATTGGTCGAAGGAGCAATCGGCCAACGGGGTAACAGACTCAGAAATGATTTAATGATGTTATGCTGATGAAGACTGACACCTAGTGGTCAACTGGAGCAACTGCGCTTTTGTTTCCCGTCACAAATCAAATCCGTCATGTACCGAGAATGCATTGCTTTAGTTTTCCATTAACAGTTTTAAAATTACTTTATTGATGCTTCTTTAATGAAAAATCTACAACAAACAAAAGAAAAAGACAAAGAAGCAGCCGAACTAGCAATCCTCATCAACTTTTTAATTTTTMCACCAGGAGCTAAAGGTCTGTTTCAGGAAATCACATCCCCAGCAATCGGCGRTTGTARAWTTAAGTTGTAAAAGGGCTCATACACCACTAGTTGGCAGTGTTGTGCATGTATTGTACATGAATTGTGGYCARCTAGTAAGTGTCAAATTGAACTTGTGCTYTAWAATTAGCTTCYGCTAATGTTTCTATGACATAAATGCTTTAGAAATTGTGGAGCTAAKTTTTGGATTAGCGCTGCCCACCACTGGTTAGACCCTTAACTTTCAGGATGTTTTTAATTGAACAGGAAATCCGTGCAAACACGGAAATCACTTCCTGCCCCCCATCTGAATTATGTGCGTCATACAGTTCTTTAACCCAGCAATGCTGTGTTCATGTTTGTCTTTAGATTTTATTTAATTTATAT